AGCTGGAAAGCCTTATCAACTGTTTTAGCTCGACAATAAACAACTGTGTCATCAGCATAGAAATGTATGGATGCATCAGGGATGTTTTTACCTACATTATGTATGTAGATTGTAAAGAGGGTGGCTCCTAAGACTGAGCCTTGAGGTACACCATTGTTGATTGTTAAATAACTGGAGGAAGTACCATTATGTTGAACACATTGCCTCCGGTCTGAGAGAAAATTAGAGAACCAACCAATGGTGTGTTCTGAGAAACCGATTTTTGAGAGCTTATGACACAAGATGTTATGATTCAGTGCCCATCAAATCATCTATCCATTCAACCAACCATCCATACATCTATACAAACATCCATCAAATCATCCATCCATCTATATATCCAACCAACCAACCATCCATCCATCAAATCATCTATCTTTCAACAACCATCCATCAAATCATCCATCCATCTATCCATTCAACCAACCATCCATCATACCATTCATCCATCTATCTATCCAATCAACCATCCATCATTCAACCAACCATCCATCCATCTATACAACCTTCCATCAAATCATCCATCCATCTATCCATTCAACCATCCATCCATCCATCCATCCATCCATCCATCCATCCATCCATCCATCCATCCATCCAGGCATCTATCCATCCAATTATCTATCCAGTCAACCAACCATCCATCCATCAATCTATCCAACAACCATCCATCCATCAAATCGTCTATCCATTCAACCAACCATCCATCTATACAATCATCCATCAAATCATCCAACCATCTATCCAGTCAACCAACCATCCATCCATCTATCCATCCATCTATCCAACCATCCAACCATCCATCCATCCATCCATCCATCCATCCATCCATCCATCCATCCAACCAAACAACAGACTGTCCGTCTGTCCGACTGACTGACCATTAAACCAACCATTCAAACATTAATTTTGGTCTGTGAGATGAATCCGATGTACCGGGAAAAAACATGCATGCACAGGAGGTATATGCAAACTCTACACAGAAAGGCCAGGAGACGAGCTTGCAACTTTCTTGCTGCGAAGCGACAGCTCTAACCACTGCCATACCATACTACCTTGAGGCAATATTCTAAGTAGCTGAAATCGTTTGTGACCAAAGCTGATGAGAAAAGGTGGTACTGTCTAACCTCATCCTTGGCCTTCAGTAAAGCCTCCAGCTCCTCCAGGGACTGAGTCAGCTCATCCTTTAGCAGGTCACTGGGTCCATGGCCTCCATGGGCTTCTAAATCAGCCACCTTCCAAAAATAAAATACATTTTTTCATATATATTGTAAGGGAACAGAGTTTTACACAAAACAATATACCGTGTGGGTGTGTGTTAGCAAAATATCTCTGGCAGATGTATTTGAATAGTGAATGTTTGTAGTTTTTGAGATGAGTGTTTTTCTAGACTGAAATTGAACAAAGAATGTAAGTAAACTTAAGTGTAAACCTAAATAAACTTAAAAGATCAGACCCCCCCCCCCCCCCCCCCCCCCCCCCCCACAAAGATACTAAGGTGGACACTGTGAACTGCTGCAAGTACCTGGAGGTCCACCTGGACAATAAACTGGACTGGACAGCTGACACCAATGCCTTCTACAAGAAAGGACAGAGTCACCTTTTTTTCTGAGGAAACTCGGGTCCTTTAACATCTGCAGGAGCATGCTGCAGATGTTTTCCCACTCAATGTTCTCCAGCTTCTTCTTCTACACTGTGGTGTGCTAGGGCAGCATGGTGAAGAAAGCTGATGCCAACAGACTCGATAAGCTCAAGAAGAGAGCTGGTTCAGTTCTGGGAGTGGACCTGCAGTCTTTGACAGAGGTGTCTGAGCAGAGGATGCTGAGGAACCTGCTCCAGATCCTGAACAACACGTCACCCCCCCTGCATGATACACTGGACTCTTACTGCAGCACCTTAAGTCAGACTGAGACCACTGAGGTGCTCCACAGAACAACACAGGAAGTCCTTCAAAACTGTTCAACTCCTCCCCGTTTCTACACAGAGGACAATAAAATTAATCCTGCACTACAGTAAACTCTTTAATTTTTCTGTCTGCACCTGTTTAGAACTTAATTGCTGAAATTTTTATATTTTCTGTTGTTTTTTTATATCTTGTGATTCCTTGTGTATGTTCCTTTGTACTGAAACTCTGGCACAATTTCCTGTGGGATCGATAAAGTTCTATCTTATCTTATGTTGTCTTGTGTTTTTGGCACAACATATTCAATTGGGTCTGAGTTACACTGTGGAGAAGATCAGAGGGAGTTCTTACTTTTCTTGTTTAAGGCAGTGCAGAGCGACAGATCCTGGTGAGTGGAGGGAACAATGTTATCTGCAACAAGGCATAATGGTGGAGCCAGGGGGTGGCCAATGGTTTTCTTGGTCACCATAGATTATGCTTTGGCCAACCCAATCATTTGAGAAAACTATACTTTTAAGCAATCTTAAAACTATGAAGCATATAGTTTCCTCAAATTATTGGGTTGACCTGTTTACAAATACATATGGAGGTGGCCATCTTGGATTTTGACTTGGCAACCTAATTCTTGACAGTGACCTTTCTTATGGCTAGATGTAGCAACACACCAAAATAAACTTGGTGAATATATCTATCATGCTCATAACATTGATGGACAGACAGATGGATGGACAGAGGGTATTTCCAATTTCCCCTCTTTGTTCCACGATGGGGGACAAAAATGACTAACGGTACTGGTTTGACTCCAAGTTTGTAATTATCATTTCAATGTCTTTTAGGACTCTTTAAAAAATTGCAATAAATAAAGAAATAATAGGAGGAAGTCTGTGAAATTCCTCGACACCCTGCATGTTATGGAGTATTTTAAACCTTGGTTAGTAGAGTTAAGTACAAACAGCAGTAAAAAAAAGTTTCAAATGAGGGGATACTTGGTGATTTCTCATCTATTTTCTCTCAAACTAGGCCAATGAAAATAGGATCTTGCTGTCCCACAAACCCCACTATCTCGTGAACTACCCCAGAGGCTTGAACCATTTTCAGTTTCCTGCTCCAATTGTTACAACTGAGGGAACAAACTCTGTCTAAAGAAGACGAGCTTCTCACTTGTAGAAATTCCTTTCCTAATTTCATTTTAAAGTATTAAACCATCACAAAAAATAAATAAACAGAGATGATTAATACTTAAAAGCTTACCTATGGAAAAATCCCAATGTTACGACTGCCGTCTTAAATTGCCTATGAGTGAGTGTTCAAAAGCCTAATTGTGCCAATTAGTGTCCAGGTGTGCAGCTGGAGGAAGACACTGCTGAACGGAGCTGTGATTGGCTGCCTGCCTGGAGGCTGCTGCTGTTCTATGAAATTATCTTAAACAAAGTACAGGTTCGGGTGAATGGTCGGAACAATGAATAAACACTCACAGGCTGTTTCTGCTAGAATAATAATGTGTCATTTTATTAAACCGCCACAAATACAGCAAAGCAAAGCACAAGTACATTCAGTACAAATCAGATATTGATGTAAAAGCCCCTCACCGTGACACCAGACCGGGAAGCCGTTTCAGTCCGAGTAAAAAGGTAACATCAATTGGCTGGGCATCGGATCAGGATCCACAGCAGACTTCAACTCTTATTCTGAGTGTCACACTTTAATACTCTCTACATTACATGGGAACATCTCCCAGTAAACAGAACATGCCCACCTGGACTTAAAGTCTGTGAAAAACCCTTGAGATAGCGTGAGAGCGTGAGAAGCTTAAAAATCTCTAGATAGCGCGAGAGCGTGAGAAATTAGGGTGAGAAACCTCAAGATAACGTGCGGGGAGGGCGGGCCAAGCCTCCCCCCTCAGGCCTCTCGGGTGGCTCACAACAACATGCACCAAAAACTCTTCATATCACAGGTTGAATAGTCAGAAAAACAACATTTTATTCAACTCTCAACTCATTCCACCCTTTGGTTTTCTGACTAATTTTGCCCTTACCAAAAACACTTCATATCACAGGTTAAATAGTCAGAGAAACAACATTTTAAACACTTTTATATCGCAAAAAACAACACTTTATTGACTTCTTTATTCATTCCCCCCTTTGGTTTTCTGACTAATTTTGAAGACTCCCCCCCCCCCCCCCCGACTTCATAAGGCAGTCGATCAAAAACATTTGTCCATTGTTCCATAGTTTCTATCACTAAATGTAAGAAATCAAGGCGAGAGCCATTGTGTTCAAAATGATGGTAAATTCTATCACCACTTACGCAATAATCAATTATTAACGTGTCAGGGTGGACCATGGAGTCAACTTCGATGACGGTTTGTTCTCAAAACCAAACCAATGATCTCTGATTTCAATTGCTATTTTCATTATAAAGCAGTGTTATAAATTTTCTGATTAATTCTATTTTTAACCCTCCTAATATAAAAACAAGTACCCAAATTACACAAGGTTAATACAGCGATACATAAAATCAAAATGAAAAAAGGAGATACTGCGTACTTTTGCGCCGTGGATGACATTCCTGTGAATATGTCCCACCAATGATGGGCCGACGCCTGCTCTATTAGTTTAGCCGCATGTAACACTTTTCCTTGTGTGATGAAGGTAGACACTGTCAAATCAGACACGTTAGATTTATGAGATTTAATCAAATGTTTTAGCTCTGTGGACTCATTCAATGCGCATTTGAACCGGCACAGAGAGACTCGCCAGGGCACGTGCAAAGTTTGCCACTATACCTCTGTTAGGCGAGTGGATGAACTGTAATTGGTTAATTGATAAGTCTGGTTGTTCCAACTCCACCGATGTACACCATACACACATCCAGAGAAAGGCACCTTAGGTAATTGAGGATGACTCTTTATTGTTGCTAAGCACAAAGTGTGTGAGCCAATCTGCCACAGCATGTCTCTAGCTGGTTCATGAGTCCAATCACACAATACCCTGTCTTTGGTTAAACATGGGTTAACATGACCTATTTGCAGCATACATACCACTCCTTTATCAGCTGTCTTGCATAGTTACACGTCATAGGTGAGATTTGTCTGTGGCTCAAACTACTCACCTTGTAGTTTTAAAAACCAATATCCTTGTACAGTTCCATCCATCCATCCATTATCTTTACCCGTTTATTCCATTTTGGGTCATGGGGGTCGCTGGTGCCCATGTTCAGCAATCACTGTGTGAGGGGCGGGGTACACCCTGGACAGGTCGCAAGTCCATCACAGGGCCACATAGAGACAAACGAGACAAACAACCATTCACTCTCTCACTCACACCTAGGGACAATTTAGAGTTACCAATCAGCCTAACATGCATGTTTTTGGTCTGTGGGAGGAAACCAGAGCACCCGGAGAAAACCCACGCATGCATGGAGAGAACATGCAAACTCCACCCAGAAGGCACCTGGACCGGGGTTTGAACCAGGGACCTGTTCGCTGAGAGGCAGCAGCTCTACCAGTTGCGCCACCGTGCTGCCCTCCTTGTACAGTTATTACAGGTAAAACATGATACTTGCACACTGTAGTTGCATTGCTCACAATATACTGAACCCAATGTCCTTCACACATGTTATTTGTACATTTTGTCAATTCAGGTTTCAAAACCAACCAGTGTGCACCCGATATGTTCCACAGCAGACTTCAACTCTTATTCTGAGTGTTACACTTTAATACTCTCTACATTACATGGGAACATCTCCCAGTAAACAGAACATGCCCACCTGGACTTAAAGTCTGTGAAAAACCCTTGAGATAGCACGAGAGCGTGAGAAATTAGGGTGAGAAACCTCAAGATAACGTGCGGGGAGGGCGGGCCAAGCCTCCCCCCTCAGGCCTCTCGGGTGGCTCACAACAACATGCACCAAAAACTCTTCATATCACAGGTTAAATAGTCAGAAAAACAACATTTTATTCAACTCTCAACTCAGCTGCTTAAAGAGGCGCTGAGTTGCAGTTGACGTTGGCGGGTGGCTGTGGGAGGAAAAAGCACAAGCAAAGGAGGAAACTTGGAAGAGTTCAAGTCGGAAACTTTGGCGGTTGGCAGAAACTGGTTTGTGAATGAATCGGGATGGCAGCTAAGGAGGTAGAAGAGGAGGATTTTGATAGTGACATGGATATAGGTCCAATAACAATATCCAAGGAAATCAAAAGGAAAATAGGGGAGGTTGAATTGGCAAAAACCTTGAGAGATGGCAATTTACTTGTAATTTGTAAATCAGAAGACCAAAAAAGGAAAGTGTTGTTGGTTGAAACCATAAACAAGAAAAGGGTGGAAAATAAGAGTT